CTTGTTTCATTGCCGACTACTGAGTACATACTACAAATTTTATTAAAGTTCACATACACGCTCTACATCATTTTTATTCGATAAAAATTCATTTAGAATACTAAACAATATAAAGCGACATGAAACTTAACATTTATTTCTTGTTTCGGATAAACGTTGCAAATGCCGTATATTGATTTATACTCCAAATTACACACATGTACAAACAAGCATGATGCTAATGCAGTGTTTTAGCAAAAACATTACAATGTAACACCGAGGGTGTTACAACCGGCAGCGAGCGCAAGGCAACCCAGGATGACACTTGCAACAACTGCGGCAAGTCTGGCCACTAGGTGAAGGACTGCCGCCTTCCTCCACGTCGCGGTGGGTAGGCTCTCATCACGCAAGCAGGGGAGGAGGATGCTGCTCTATTCCTAGTGCACGGGTGCATCGACTCGTAGCGAGAAGTAGAGGAGGGGGTGAAATTTCCAAGCTTTCCCCTTTCCGTGTCGGCTGGCTCCGCACATCTCCACCTCGACGAACTACGCGCCCACGCCTTTCTCGGCAAAGGCGCAGATGATGACAAGATGGACGACAGGTACCTTGACACGGTGCCACGCACCACATGACTGGTCGGCGCGAGTTCTTCTCCGACCTAGACTATGGCGTGAAGGGCTATGTCAAGTTCAGTGACGCCTCCGCCATCGAGATCAAGGGAGTCGGCTCGATCATCTTCAAGGCCAAGATAGGGGAGCACCGCCTCCTCATCGGCGTGGACTACATCTTGGCCTTGAGGAACTCCATCATCAGCGTCAGGCAGTTGGATGAGAATGGCTCGCAGGTGGAGATCGAGGATGGTGTGTTGCGCATCTGGGATAGAAGCTGCCGCCTTCTCACCAAGGTGAACCGGGGAAGCAACTGCCTTTACGTGCTTCATGTGAAGGTGGCGCACCCCCTTTGCCTTGCCGTGCGCTGGGACGATGAGGCATGCTGCTGGCACGAGCACTTCGGGCATCTTCACTTTGATGACCTAAAGCAGCTTGGCAACGAGGAGATGGTCTGTGGCATGCCCTTCGTCGACCACGTCGAGCAGCTCTGCGACACCTGTGTGGTGACCAAGCTGAAGCGCCAGCCCTTCCCTCGTCAAGCCTCCTACCGCACCACCGAGCAGCTCGAGCTGGTGCACGGCGAACTTTGCGGTCCAATGTCACCGGCCACTCCTAGAGGTCGGCGCTACTTCCTACTGCTCGTCGACAACGCCACCCGCTATATGTGGGTCGTGCTGCTCGATTTCAAGGTGATAGCTATAGACGCCATCAAGCGCCATCAGGCAGCCGCAGAGAAGGAGTGCGGCCACAAGCTCTAGGTGCTCCGCACAGACAACGACGAGGAGTTCATGGTGGCTGAGTTCACGGCGTACTACACCAATGAGGGGATTCAACACCACTACTCTGTGCCCTACTCACCATAGTAGAACGGCGTGGTCGAATGCCGCAATCAAACGGTGGTGGCAGTGGCACGCACCCTCCTCAAGCAGCGTAGTATGCCGACGGTCAATAGGGGGAGGCCATGATGATCATTGTACACCTGCTCAACCGCTCATCGACCAGTGCTCTCGATGGCAAGACACCGTATGAGGCCTGGCATGGGCGCAAGCCGGCGGTAAGCTACCTATGCGTCATTGGTTGCCTCGCCTACGTTAAGGAGCTGAACCACGTCAGCAAGCTCAACAATCGCTGCTTGCCAAGGGTCTTCATCAGCTATGCAGGGGGGCTAAGGCCTACAGCGTGCTTGACCCGGCGACACAACGCATGCGTGTGGCGCGCGACATCGTGTTCGATGAAGGACATGGCTGGGCATGGGACAAGGCAGTGGATGATGGGTCGGCGGCCATGCTCTGTGACTTCACCGTTGAGTATGCATGGGCGGGAGGTGCTGAGGGAGCACAAGGTGCATCCTCATCGATGTCTAGGTCTTCATCACCAGCGCCGACCTCTTCATCAGCTCCGCCACGCTCGCCATCACCACATCCGGGGGAGCTCGGTAGCCCATCAGCGGTGGTCGGTAGCCCATTAGCAGTGATTAGAAGCTCATTGGCAGCAGCGCCGACCTCTCCAGCACCATAGCCGACCTCTCTGGTGCACCAGCCGACCACTCTGGTATCTTCTACTTCGCCCGCTATGACACCAGGGCACGCAGGGCAGCCGGAGGTCGAGTACGCGATGCCGCTAAAGGATGATGAAGACCGCTTGGATGCCTACTACGACGATGAGCCCCTCCAGTATCGCACGGTGGCGAACATCCTCGGAGAGCAGTCTCCATCGGACTAGCCTAAGAGGCTCTTCACCCAGCTACATCTGATGCACGCCGGTGAGCTGAACACTTATGCTGAGGCACAGGGTGATCCGGCGTGGCGGGCGGCAATGGAGCAGGAGCTCAAGTCCGTCGAGCAAAACCACACCTGGGAGCTGGTGCCACCGCCTGACGGCCACCGCCCCATCACCCTGAAGTGGGTGTTCAAGCTCAAGAAGGACGAGTTGGGCACGGTGATCAAGCACATGGCGCGGCTGGTAGCGCGCAGCTTCGTCCAGCAAGAGGGGATCGACTACGACGACGCTTTCGTCCCCATGGCACGCATGGAGTCAGTTCGTGTCCTCCTCGTGCTGGCGGCTCAAGAGGGGTGGCAAGTCCATCACATGGACGTGAAGTCCACCTTTCTCAACGGCGACCTCAAGGAGGAGGTCTACGTGCGCTAGCCACCTGGCTACGCCGTCACCGGAGAAGAGGGGAAGGTGTACCGCCTGCGCAAGACACTCTATGGTCTGCGCTAGGCATCGCATGCCTGGAACGCGAAGATCGGCGCCACGCTCAAGAAAATGGGTTTCAAGCAGAGTGCACATGAGGCGGCGGTGCACCGGTAGGGCAGCAGACGCAACGTCTTACTGGTCAACGTCTACGTCGACGACCTCATTATCACCGGCACTGAAGAGTAGATGGTGGAGGTATTCAAGGCGCAGATGAAGAAAGCGTTTGACATGAGCGACCTCGGCCTCCTCTGTTTCTACCTTGGAGTCGAAGTGCGCCAGGACGTTAGCGGGATCGCCCTCTACCAATCCCACTACGCCAAGCGCATCCTCGAGATCGGTGGCATGACTGGTTGCAATCTGGCCCACACCCTGATACAGGAGGTCGATCCAACCCATTACCGGCGACTAATCGGGAGCTTACGCTACCTGGTCCATACTCGGTCGGACATCGCATTCGCCGTCAGGTACATGAGCCGGTTCAAGGAGCGGCCGACGATGGAGCATCTGCAGGCCGTCAAGCGAATCCTACGCTATGTGGCAGGCACCCTCGACTACGGTCTCCACTACGAAAGGACCCCCGATACAGTGCGGTTCGTCGGCTACTGCGACAACGACCTCGCTGGCGATGTGGACACCAGCAAGAGCACAACTGGGACGATATTCTTCCTCGTTGATTGCTTGGTCAGCTGACAGTCACTCAAGCAGAAGGTGGTGGCCCTCTCAAGCTGTGAAGTGGAGTACATTGCTACCACCACTGCAACAACTTAGGCGCTATGGCTGTCAAGGATGCTGGTAGAGCTGCTTGGCAAGAAGGTGGATGTGGTTGAGCTGAAGGTGGACAACAAGTCTGCTCTAGCTCTGGCCAAGAACCCTGTTCTTCCACGAAAAAAGCAAGCACATCCGCATCAAGTATCACTTCATCAAGGATTGCTTGGAGGATAGGAGCATCAAGGCCAGCCACATTGCCACTACTGATCAGTTGGCTGACATTCTCACCATGGGAAGTCCAAGTTCCAGGAGATGAGGGAGAAGATTGGGCTACAGCAGATCACCTCCAGTGCTCAGCACAAGGCTGAGGGGGAGAATTGATAGATAAGTCTAGTGCTAAAACACTTGTATCTTACTTTTTCAGCACTTTTACTTTCCTTAGCTTACAAGCCTAGTGTTAGTAATATGCTCAGCATCCACTTTAGTGGTTAGAATATGGTGCAGCAAGTGAGAGTTCCTCTGTCTATAAACGGTAATGGAGTGTCATTGTAAAAACTAAGCCATTACATTTTCTTAAATCCAAGTGGCCAAGAGCCAAGCTGTCCTCTGATAATTCTCAAATATGAATCTGAAATTTATTTGGACCAACACAACAGTCCCACGTGTGTGTGGTAAGTGGCTAAGCATCGCGGAGCGCTTAGGCGGCGTTAAGCGTCAGTTAACAAATTTTCTTGACATCGTGGAAGCATGAGGGGCGCTTGCATGTCAAAAAGACGCTAGACCAGGCGCCGGCGCTTGGAACGTGCATCTCGTATAATCAGGAGCCGACGCTTGAAAGCTAGTTAAATATTAGCCTAAATAGGTCATGCACGCATTGCAAAGATAGACGCCCAAATAGGCTCCTATAATTATCAAAACATTTAAGCATCAGTAAAATGGTTGATTCCATTGTAGGCTAGGAGCCTTATACAGATGCTTAATGATGAATTTTTTTAAGCGGCCATATAAACATCTTTGCATTGTACGTGCCCTAACAAATAGGCACCACAATTAACGGAAGCTAATTGCGTAAATATGCTCCATCCAATCCATCTTTTATCTTTTTTATAGCTTTATTCCATAAACCAAACGCAGAACAAACATCTAGAGACATCTTCGTCCCCTCAACCAAACACAGAAACCTTCAACAAAACACAGAACAAGCATCTAGGAAACCTTCAACCAAACACGCATCTAGGTGTTTCCGTTCTTGTCCCCTTAACCAAACATAAAACAGAGACGTCCTCATCCCACAAAAGTGAACAAAAGTGAAATGAGTCTATACCGTCTCTCCTAGATCCCAAACCAAACACAAAGTGATATCAAGTTGGATCACTACCATCAGACAACAGAAGTCAGGGGAATCAAAGTTCACAAGAACGGAAACAGATTGCCTTCAAACTAAATATGCTACAGGCAAATAAGTACAGTCCAACTAGCTGGCAATTAATATAGCAGTAGCAATTATAAGAGTCGAAACTTCATCAGGCTCCCTAAGCCATAGATACCTACAGATACATAAACGGTACCGAATGACTTGCACAACATAACCACGGCACATCGATCTGAACCCACTTTGATGCATAGATAACCTACAGCCCAACAGCACGAACAGATGTCAAGTTAGAAGCAGCAAAACGATATCCAAAGCTTGTGCATCAGGTTAGCCTCTTCAGCCGCAGCCCAGCCAAGACGTCTTTAAACTTACGTTCCACACCGTCGCACAGAACCTCATACCCACTAAGCGATGTCTTGATACTAGCGAGCTCCGCATCTATTTTTTCCTTCTCCTTTGCAATCTTCTGGCTTTCCTGGCGAATGCGCCCAAGTTCTTGCTCAAGCTCTGCTGCAGCTATATCTTTTTCATCAAGCAGTGCACCAACTCGGGAGGACGAAGCTGTCTTCTCCACAAACTTCGAATCCAGCTTGCCAATTTGTACATGATAACTGGTGCGCTCAGATTTTATCTTGACCAAATCGGTCATGGCGCTCTGCATAAATTGCACACTAAATCCATTTGCCTCTAGATGGGAGATTGTCCTGATCTTGTCCTCGAACCATTCCATGCTGTTGTCTATGCTTGCTTCCATTGTAACCTTCACTAAGTCCATGAATGACACCATCATACCTAATGCCATTCCTTCACGTAGTAATGGGGCATGTTCTTGGAGTGGAAGGAAATGAGGTTGTTGAGGAAGCTCCTTAAACACATGCATTGCTTCAACTAGATCCCACATAGGTGAGTTCTTGACGAACAAAGCCTGGTCCTCAAAAGGCTGTGGTGAAGGCAACAAGCTCTCAAAAGCAGAGCAGCTCCTCAATGGAGAACTGTCGATGATGCACTGTGAACTCCCAGCATTCTGTAAAACTGACCTCTCATCCACTTTCCCACGGGCTTGTTGAGCCGGACAATCAAGACATAGGATAGCTGTTTCCATGACATGGTTGCTTTCAGCTAATTTGGTAGCAGCATGGTCTGTGCACATGTCATCATTTCCCTTCGGTTCAATAAGGCTGTTGGTCGTATTACAGTTGGCTCTTCATCAAATTGAGTATCATGTATGTTAGTACCTGCACACAAAAAATCCAGTCATTAATCATTGGTCTGCAACTATCATGTATGTATGCCTTCAATTATGTAGCAAACTATGCGCATGGGTAGATTTTCCACAGTTCATACCTCTCCCATTATCCATTGATTTAAAGCCAGGAGGCACCATCGGTAACAGGTCCTGATTTGATAATTCAGTTATGTTCTGTGCATCCTCCAAAGTTCTATCAAGCTGTTTTTGAGTATCAGAATTCAGACACTCCAACTACATGCAGAATAGTACAAGGGTGAGAAGGTGATGAATAATATAAGTATTAGTTTGCAAAAGAATGTTCTTACTGCTAAGGGACATTCTTCCATTGGCTCTGCAAATTCCTTGCTTCCTCTCTGCTGGACAGTCCTAGTCACATCCAATGAGCTATTTGAACTGCACAGTTCTTTGGATCCTCTCCTGTTAGCCACTGCAGATTGTACGGCAACTGTTATTAGATTTTAATTACCACCTATAAAGATGAATGTGTTCCATAGAAAACACTTACATTTCTTAGAGGCAAGAACCTTTGTACTTGAACCCCTTTTTGTCCCTATTGACACCTAATATAGATTGACAAACAGAACAGAACAGAACAAAACACGTGAAAATGAATACAGAAAGGATGTTTTAAAAGCCAATCATATGTCTGTACCAGTCTATCTGGAGATAAAATAGTCTGGCCAGTCCCAGAGACACTCAAAGCTAAAACAATGTCCGGGAGTAGAGAAATTCATGTTGCCCTTCAACTGAATCTGCACAAGCAAAAAGATCAACATTAACAGAAATAATAAATTATATGCAGGCATCCTTACTCCAGCTACAAAACATAAGGAATGGGACTCAAATTATTAGAGGGACCGACCTTTCCCTGAAGTCCTTGAATAGGGTGCATTTTCCCCGCTTTAATGTCCGATACACATTTCTTCACCCTGAGTGATTTGGCAGGGTTTTCCTGTTTGCGTGTGACAGCACTATTTCTGCGCGCTGAAGCCATTTTCTTATTTCTGGGCGCTGAAGCCATTTTCTTTCTTAGTTCAGTAATGGAAAGCATATCATGGCCACCAACACTTCTTCCAGAGACAGGTCCATTAAGCTCACCATCAGTAACAACCATATCAGACAGGATTTCTTGATTGTCCACTGGTGCTGAATGTCCTGGAGAAGCACAAAGGAGTCCGTTCATTGGCACCGAATTCATTATCCCATGTGAACCTTGAAGACTGTTCTTTTCAGAGACAAAAGAATTCGGTGAATGAGTGCTTTCTGGTGACTTGCAAAGAGCAGACAAAGGAATGTCCATCTCAGAGACTGAAGCATGTCCAGAACCTTCGGCTAATGTGCTCTTTCCTAGACTGTGTTCTTCATCACTGGATGACACCTCAACTGGTGACCTTGGACTATTACCAGACACAGACCGACGCCTTGAGTTAGCCCGTCTCTGCACAAGGAAATATTTAGAACAGATCATACAAGTTGAATGATAAGATGTTTTATTGCTATATGCTAAAATTTCAAAGAGATACCATTCTTTAGCAATGTGCTATATACATATTGCATGCCAATAGTTAAAACAAATGTCTTAAACTCACAAAACAGCTGACAGCCAATAGGGTTAAACTTCATAGATACCCATAGTGAAATATTTTCCAGGGTCAAGATCTATTCATGATCAATAATACTATCTCCGTTTTTTTATAGGGCATGTTAAGTTCTAAAAAGTTAAAATTCAGAACTCTTGCCTAACAATCAGCCAAATTATATCCATGTTGTGTGTGCAAAAGTTGTACCACTGTATTCGTAGCCAACATATGTTTAGATACAACATTGAGTTTATAGCAATGACAATATTCAATCTAGTCATAAATAAGTGACAATATTCAATCAAAGTATAAATACGCCAGAAACAGAGTACTAGTAAATAGGATAATGCTTGAGTATCATTGAATCTATCACAAAATGTAATTCATGCTGAACAGCCCCCACCCCATTACCAACACTCCCCCAACAGCCACCACATGGGGATCCTATGATATTGCCCACCATCGTGAAATAAGGAATCAAAGTTAGGGATGAAAGCGGGCTAGCCCGTTAACCTGCATATAGGCTTAATTTTGTGGTTTACATGTGGTAAACCACAAAATTAAGCCTATATGCGGATTCGTGGGCTAGCCCGCTTCCGTCACTGATCGATGTTTGCCTAAAGTCAAACTATCATAAGTTTGACTGAGTTTATAGAAAATAAGAATAATATTTATGACATCAAATTAGCATCACTATCTAGAAAAGCCAAAACGTCTTATAATTTGGAATGGAGGGAGTAATACTTTTCTCCATAAACTTGGTCAGACTTAGGAAAATTTGACATGGGAGAACCTTCGATACTTATATTTCAGGACGGAAATAGTAATTTGGCATCCTTTATTCATCCTCCTGTGGCTCCCTGTATCTACACAACGCAATGCAGCTGCTCCATCACTGTGTACGAGGCGAGGCCACGTCACACCACCACCCATGAGCGAGCAGCAAATGAGGCAAGGCCATGCCTATGCTGTCATGCCACCACACAGCATTGGGATCGACTGCCTCAGACCCCCCTCGGCCCTCAGCTTAGCGGACACAAATCAGATAATGCCATGCAGGGCCGCAGTGCAGGTGATCTGGTTCACAAGGAGGGACAACTGTTGTCATCGGTGCAGGTGCTCAATGCCACATTGGCAAGAGCAAGCGCGAGGTATGCAGGTGATTCAGGTTCGTGGTGTGCAGTGTGTATGACTGCAGATGGAAGGTATTTGAAAGAAGGGGCACCGTGTTGTACCATGGCCCACAGGCGCAACGAGAATTGCCTGCTCATGTGCCTTGCAGGTAGGCAGTGGCTGAGCCAAAGCAATCCATGTCCATAAGTTCTCAATTATTCACACTTCTAATCAGTAATTACTTCTGCTGCTTCTTGGTTTCGATTCACTTTCTTTCAGAAGTTCTCTACTACTAGTTGATGTGTTTGTGTGACTTTTGAACTTGCGAACTGGTGCTGTGATGTGAACTGGTGCTGTGGACTGCTGCAGCCATGCAGTGAATTGGTGGTGTGGTGTGTGGTTTGATGCAGCCATACAGTGCTGTGAAGTGTGAACTGCTGCAGTCCAAGTATTGAGCGCAGTGGTGTGCTTCCTATGAGCTGTGACCCTTGAGATTGAGGTAGTGAGTGCTGTGTGTGAACTTGTGATTTGTGAACCTATGCTAAGACTGATATATAGGGTGAACTTGTGAACTCTAAATCAATGCGAGTTCTGTATCCTTCTGTTTCTGTTGAATTTCCGCCCATATTTACTTGTTTACTTCTATCCGTATATCCCATGTCATCCCTGCTCCTGGATACTCTGTTCCAGCTCCCATTCCCATTCCTGGTGACAAAATGTGAACATAGAAATGATGAGTGGTTTTCCCACCCATTCCCGTCAGTTTTTATCCCTACTCCTAGAGGACCTTATGTAAACATGAGGTTGATGATACCCATATTCAGGGTCCTATCATACAAAATTCGCAGCCCAAACATGCAAAACACAAATGGAACAGCTTGTCTGAACTTAATCATGTGCCAAAAACTCCATCCTACCCATAAAACAAAAAAAAATTTGACAGACACAGGCACAAACTCAAGGAGAGGAAATATTGCCATTTGGCTGAAGCTGGAGCGTACTACAAATCATGTGAAGCACAGTATCCCTGTGTCAGTGATGGACTTAATTAGACTAGCTGTACTTATCTCAGACTTGTATTTCTAACAAATTTATCTTTCTAAGAATAGCTATGGCCTACGGGCAATCATATTCATATATTACAACAAGACAATGAAGGAACTAAGATATGCAATAAAGTCAGCAAGGGCCAGTCCCAACAAATCAGCAAGGAACCATGTAGTATCTGCATCTCACAAGAGTACAACAGCAGACAATCAGAAATGAGCTAATAAAGACAGCTATGACAAACAGACAGATCTGTTCCAGTACCTTACGGGTCGCAATCTTCCATTGCTTGCCATTCCACTTATACTGTGGCTTGAGCAATGGCGCCACCTTGGTCACCAGCATTTCTGACTTTTTGGCAACAATACCGATCTCATACTCACCCTCGCCGAGGACCCTTCGCACCACACCTGGTGACCATGCCCCATCGCAGTAGGCCTCCACAGCAGCGCCAGGCTGGAGCTTGAACTCGCTCTCCCTTGGAGCATGCTCGACAGCCGGCCTGATGAACCACCAATGCAGGTACTCGGTGGCCTTCTCCGGCCCGCCCTCGCCCTCCTCCAGATCGAAGTACTCGACGACGTAGCTAAGGTCGTCGACGACGACCCTCACCGTGGCGAGGAACCAGGACTCGCCGTACGCGCTCCGTTGCCTCACCACCTCCACCTTGTCCCCGACCTCGTAGACCTTGACCGCGCGCTTGGGGCGGACAACCATCGCGACCTGGGAAGGGATCCAGTCGCCGTCGACGTAGTCGCGGCGGGGGCGGACGAGGCCGGGCGCGAACTCGATGACCTCGCGGGTGATGGGGAACGCGACGGTGACCCCGGCGGCGCCGGAGCCGGAGCCGGCGGGGGCGGACACGACGATGCCCGACCACCACCCCTCGTTGTGGAACGCCTCGACGATGTCGTGGGTCTGGAAGCGCGGCGGGGGCGACGGGGGCGGCGGAGGCGGGCGCGGGCGGATGTGGGACGGCGCGAAGGGCTCGGCCAGCACGCCTTCGTCGTCGTCGGCGAGGAGGTGCGCGTACTTGACGGTGTACCGCGCCGGGTGGCGGTACCCGCGGGCCGGCGTGAAGTCGAGCACGGTGGCCTCGAACCAGGACCCGTGGAAGCCGTCGTCGTCGACGCGGACCTCGACGTCGGTGCCGGGAGGCAGCGGCGCGGAAAGGTCCACCCCGCGGGGGGGCGAGGAATGGGGCCCGTCGGGCGACCCGGATGGCGACCGCGACGACGGCCGGGGCCTCTTCGAGGGCTTGCTCCGCCTCAGGCTCGGCGAGCGCCCGCGCCCGCGCCCGCGCCCGCTCTTGCTCCCGCGGGGGCGGCCGCGCCCCCTCCGTGCGCCGGCGGCGTCCGGCGGCGGGGCGCTGCCGGATGCGGCGGCGGCCATTGGGGATCGGAACGGGATTCGGGGGCGGGGTTTGGGGGAACTGGGGTTTTGGGTGGGAGGGTGGGATGGAGGGGGTCTCCGCTATAGGCGTCGGGGTTAGGCTTTTGCGCGCTCGATGCAGGAGTGGTGGGCTCGACCGGCACGGGGCGTAGATCTATGTCACCGACGGGTGGGCCGCCACGGACGCAACGGCAGGCGGACCCCGCGTGTAAGCCAGGCGTCACGGCCGTGCGCCGTTTCTGAGCAGGGTGTGTGTGTAAACGGCGCGGGGAAGCCGTTGCAACGCAGCTCACGCGGCTCAGCCAGGGCGCGGGAGCCACGGGTGCGAGGAGGGGGGCGTGAACCGCGAAGCGTGCTTTTGCGTTGCGTCGTGTGTGGTTTTTTTGTCGCGGCTCCACGTCCCTGCGGGAGACGAGGGATGTGGCGCATCGGTTATCGTATCCTGGGGCCTACATCAGTGAAGCAGGGGCGTTACATCATCTGCGAAGTAGGTGACCGTTTGGCAGGGTCCCTCATTATACGTGGGAAAGGGGGGAAATCCTGACTTGTTTCAAATTATTAAAAAAATTGTCTAATTTTCGTAAAGATATAAAACTATATTAACAGTATCAAATAAATTTAAGATCATATAATATATATATTAATGGCATATCTAATTAATATACTTTCATATAATAGATATTTGTGCTTATTTTTTTATACAATCATCTGTAGTTTCTTCCTAAGAGCATCTCTAATAGTTTTCTAAATTCCTTTCTAATCCTTGTTTTTTAGTAAAATGAGAAAAAACTTCTCTCCAACAACTCTTAATCCATCCTCCTACTCTTTCGCGTAAAGTTGCGCGCTTCCGAGTCGCGTGTATCTTCTCTCTCGCGCGTGTTTGTGGTCACTCTCCACCATACGCCTCGACCCGCGTGGAGTAAGATCCCATCGCCTCATTAGGTGGGTCCCTCTTTATCTATTTGTTTTTCTCCTTTTTTGTTTTTCTCCTTTTTTGTTTTCTACTTTTTTTCTTTTTATGCATTAATATATCTATTTTACATGACTGTATATGTTTTCATATACTAGTTGTATACGTATAATATGATGTCGTGCACAATGTTTTTTTTTTCTTTTTCACCGTTTTTTATCTGTTTTTTCACATTTTCTCTTCTTCCAATCTAATTGAATCTTATGACCACGAATCCACGAAAAGTTTTGATAAGAAGTTGCGGTAATAATCTGTCACGTAAAAAGTTATGCATATAAGTTGTGAGCATAACTTTGTAATTTTCAAATAACGGAAAGTTGTGAAAATTATTTTTTTTCAAAAAAAGTAATTCAAAAAAAATATGATGACAAATTATGTTGATAAGTTGTTCCGTAAAAAGTTATGCATATAATTTGTGTGTATAACTTTGTAACTTTCAAAAATGAAAAATTATAAGTTTTTCCAAAAAAAAAGAAAAAATAGTTATGACAAAAAGTTGTGGTGATAAATTGTAACATAAAAAGTTATGCACATCAGTTATATGTATAACTTGGTGACTTTTTTAAAGAAGAAATAGTTAGGAATGATTTTTTTCCAAAAAAGGAAAGTCACAGGAGTTGTGAGATTGATCACTGGTTTTAGAACTAATGGTTCCCTAATTAGTGGAGTCGTAGATTTGTCCCAAATGACGCCTCTTAAGGGTAGTACCCCTCCAATTTGGACCCTATGGATATGCACCGCCAGGTGGTCTGCTCCTCGCCCGGCAGCTACTCCTTCACACCGCCCTCACACAGATTATGTGCATGCCTTGGTGAGAAATTTCAATCTTTGACCCTCAATACGTGTGCCTCTCTATATTTGACACTCAATTCATACGCCTTTAAAAAATTTAACCCTGCACGTGCACATTTTTTTGGATAAGAGGGATTTATCTCATTTTCTATCTCCGATACTCTCTCTCCTCTTTACTCAGGCCTCAAAAAAAGATTAAATTACCCATGCACAGAATGAAGCCATGTCGCTCAGGAGTTCTGCGAGTTGCGAGTCGCAACTGTTCTGGCAACCATGAGGACTTCCGACCGCCAGACGCCGTGACCCGAGCAGGCCTCGGCGGCGTCCTCCACCAGTCATCGCTCGCCGCCGGACATCGGTCGCCCCTAGTCCTCCACCAACCTCTCTGTTGTTTAATTTGGTCCTGGGTTAGCTGGAGCTTTGTAGCTGCAGCGTGCATCAGCAAGTTCAACCGATCAGGCTGAATATTTGGCTTGTATCCAGGGGCGGAGCTACAGGGTGGTCCATGTGGTCCGTGGACTACCCTGCAGTCCAGCCAAGGTTTATAGGAATTAGTAAGAGCTAAGAACTGTAATCATCAGCTTTTGGCCTTCAGAAGGTGAGTTGCCCTCCCAGCGCCCAGCAGCCGCGCGTGAGCCCATTGGAAGGCAGAAGGCCCTTCGTATTCGTCTTGTGAATTGCGGCCATCCGTTCCACGTCTGTCCCTTTCCCTTCGTATTCGTCCCTGCCAGTTGCAACCATGCCCAACCAACAGAGTTCTGGTGGCCAGAAGCACTACAGTTGTACATCGCACACACATCCAGTCCTCCCGTATGTCTACAACTCTCCAGCCAATTAGCCTGCTCGCCTTTCCCTTTTTTGCTCTCAAGCTCTCTCCTAGAAACTAAGCAAATAAGCAGCTGATTAGCGATCGACATGAAAGCATGACAAAAAAAAATGCACAAGCCACAACCACATGATATGCGATACTGATTTAGGTTCTTGACTTATAGGACATTTTTTTGAGGCAAACAGGAGGGGGTTGAAGCCCCCTACTGGACTACTTATAGGACATTATTGTAGGAGTTTTTATGCAGCACTGGATTATTGGAATAATAAATTGAAATATTTTACGATTCTCTTACAAATTTGTTAAGCAAGATATTTTCTTACAATTGAGTGACAGTGGAATAATCAATACTTTCATAGCTTAGAAGGCGCAAGCTAGCCTAAAAGAAAGTTGTGATGTACTGTTCTTCAACTATCTTAGGTATGTAATCTACAATTCTACATTAAGGAAGCTAGACTAGCTCGTTTATTTTATGATGTTTGTATGTTCACTTTAACTTAAACATATTGCGTTTCATAATTCATATACTTGTGTATCAATATGTTGGTTAAATTTCTTTAAACAATCATTGGACCACCCTATCTATAAATCCTAGCTACGCCACTGCTTGTATCAATACATTTGCTTAATAATAGATGCCCCTGTTCCTTCTAATTATAAGATACAAGGAGGTCTGCTGTTACTCTTTCCCATCTCAGTTCTTTGTTGATGCTCGACTAGTTGGTCAACCACCGACTAAATGAAATATGTCTGACTTTATTTGATACTTTTGTGTTTTTGGTAGATCACTACCAAGACCTCATTCAAGAGACCCACCCAGGAGAAGGCTTTTTTATTTTTATTCCTTTTTTATTCAATATTAATAATAACCACTCTTAAAATAATTTTGCAGATCTGAGTCTTTTGGGGCGCGGTAACATCTGCCACGTTAGACGGTGTTTCCAACGTGGAAAAATCATGGCGTGACAAGGCTAAACCTAAGAAAAATCATAACTTTTTCGTTACGACGTTGGATGAAAATGAATTTTATATGAAAATGGTAGATCTCCATGAGATCTAAAACTCTATAGTTTTGCGTTGTTTCACTTGAGGCCGTTAAGATGCTCAAAAGGATAATATAAAATTTCAGTAGCATAATAATTGGTATTGGTGCTTGTTGCTTTAGAAAAATAATATCTTTTTTGGTATGGTGTCAAATAAAGATAATATTTACATCAAAGTTGTAGTGCTCAATGAGATATACAACCTTATAGTTTTGAGTTTTACAATTAAGGTCATTAAGAGGCTTGAAAATAATGTAAAATTTCACAACATAATAATCGCTTACTAGTGCTTGTCGCATTAGAAAATAATATCGTCTTTATATGGTGTCAAATGAAGGTACTTTTATATTTTTTAAGTACGTTAACAATCTCAAATATAAAAACTCAAATTATAAAGTGTAGATTTCATTGAGAACTACAACTTTGATATAAAAATTTATCTATGTTTCACACCATACAAAAACGATATTATTTTTCTAATGGGACAAGCGTTAGTATGCGATTATTATGCTGCTAAAATTTTATATTATTTTTTGAGCATCTTAACGACCTCAAATGTAAAAACTCAAAACTACAAAGATGTAGATGTCATTGAGAGCTACAACTTTGATTTAAAAAATATCTTCATTTCACAGCATATAGAAAAATATTATTTTTCTAACGCGACGAGCACTAGTATGTGATTATTCTGCTCCTGAAATTTTATATTATTTTTTGAGCATTTTTACGTCTTCAGATAAAAAAAAACTCAAAACTAGAAAATTGTATATCTCATCGAGATCTAAAATTTTCATATAAAATTCATCTTCATCGGACGTTGTATCGAAAAATTATGATTTTACTAATATTCAGTCTTATCACGCCACTCCTAATGGCTCAACAAAACAATACTGCCAATGGAAGTGACATGACAAGGTTTTTCATGTCGAAAACGCCGTCAACGTGGTAGATGTTGTCGTGCCAATGCATTTGGTATGACAACATTATTTTGTCGAAACAGCGACATAGGTGCGACCAAAAGGGACATATCTGCAAAAAAAATTAGGAGTGGTTATTATTAAAATATTGAATTGAATAAAAAGGATTAAAAATATTAAAAAATCCCCTAGGAGAAGGTAAAGATGTTTCCCAGAATATCATGAATTACTGTGTGATGGAGCAGTGAAAGAATTCTAGAGATCCCAATTATTAGCTTGGTGTATGTGTATTAGTGTAATTTGATTGTGGTTATCAGATTATCTGTTGTTTCCTTATTTGGGACATTGGTAGTTGTATCGGCGAAGTCGCCAAAAAATGGGTTGACGTTTAATTAGGTCACACACTCGATAGAGCTAGATCGCTCGATGTGGGCCTAACCGATTTTTAG